CTCCTCAGTGTACGGGGGCTTGATATGTGTCCTCGTAGACCTATGAAGCCACCGCAGGTACTCGTCGAATGTGTGCTAGTCGTGTGGGGGACCCGCATCGACCAGCTGTCGGTCCCTGTTCTGCCACAACTGAATGTACGCGTTGTGTGTCACGCGTCAATCCTTGGTCTTGTACCTTTTCCTACGGTCATACCTGCAACAAAACGATTGTTAGTTGTACCATACACACCTCTGAATTGTAGCTTTATTATTAATCGATAACGCACCCGTGCAATTCTTGGTTGGTGGAGTAAAACGGTGGTGGGTAGCCTATCATTCTTCTAAACTGCCTGCAAACCCTGATGGACAAGTGAATCTCGACCACGTGGAAGAAAATAAGAGGGACGTTGCAGCGATACTCGTCTGACTCATCCCTAGTGACAGGACTCAGATAGTACTCGAGCTCCGGAGCATCCCAAGGACACCAATGCATCTGAACATTTCGTAATTAAGTTAGGTTGTGATATAGTGTACAACGAATAAGACACATGTATGATAGTAAAGAGAACGTAACTTGGTGTTGTGTCAGGACGTCGAAACCGTCCGTGTACTCCCTGTATTTACGCCTCGCATTCCCTCTAACTAACTATGCTTGCGTCCAGATATACAGAGCTGTAGGGAGTGTATCCTGCCCGTTCCAATGCTGCATTGAACACGATAATGAATTAACCATTAATAATTTAATCATATGTAACTGCCTCGAAGAATATAGTGAACCGAAGTACTTACCGATAAACCAGTAGCAAGGGGCCTTCCAATGGGCCATCGTTCCCAACACCAAACCTGGAATAGGTTGGAGCAACCCCCAAGGTTCGCATACCCTGAGGTATGACGGCAAGCAACGCATAGCTGTCGATATGTCCATGTCAGGACTACGTTGCCCTAGCTGTACGCCGCTATGTTATCCCACGGCTGGCGTAGTATGTCAAGGAATATCCAGCTGATGGTGTTGTCCGAGGCATCTGGGAAGAGAAAAGCACCAAGAAAGTGCCAGAGCCACACTCTAGCGAACCTGTCGATCTGCGCCTCATCAGCCTATGGGTCCAAGTAATCAAAGCGTTCTGTGATCCACGACGACGAAACACCAGAACTTTTTCTGAAATTCACCAAAGAAAATGAGACCCGATGGCTGCAGGAAAGCAATGCAAGTATTAAATAGGCTTGAATTGCTCACTTATTTTTCTTTGAAACATCGTCGTCCGGTGAAAGAAAGCTAGTGAACTGAGCCACCAGCTCCCTCTAGTGATCGTTGTCAACTATACCTGTCACTGGAAGTCCCCCCAACCGAAGGCCAAAGATAGACTTCACGTCCTGCATGGTCAAGGTCATCTCGCCGCAAGGTAGGTGGAACGTGTGGGTCTCAGGCCTCCACCTGTTATAAGAATAGAATGACGGTTATTTGCTTCAAATTTGTTATAAGAATGTTTATGTACAATGAAGGCCCTCGCACATGTCTATAGCTATAGTAAGTAGTGCTGGGTCAAGGGACGAAAGACCGTAGTTGACAACACGGACAAGCTCGAGGAAGCCGGCACGCCGTATGTACGGCGCGTAACGCTCGTCCCACTGGTACACCCTGGTGTGCGTGCGGGGCCTCAAAGGAGGCAAGGGCACCTCTGCGTTGGTGTCACTCAAGATATGTGCTCGGTGAGGCTCGTCGTACTCCACCTCAAGAAGGGGGTACAACGGGTGCTACGTAGGAAGGGTCATCCTGTTACAAATTGATAAACAATGGGTCAGAGTATTCAAATTAACAATATTTAAATTAACATTACGTAGCATTGCAAAATTTGAACTACTTGTTATGCAATAGGAACACAATATGAAAGCACATGTATATATTCAAAGTAACATTAACAGACATATTAAACAACATCACTAGGAAAATAAACAACTTCTATGTATGGACCTGCTGTCCACCAGTGTTTCTTATTAAATTATTACAATAGCTTGTCTGCATATGCTAGAGCAGCTCATTATAATTTTAACCTAGGGATGAGTACCCCAGTATAAGATGAATTGATTGAGAACTATCATGTGTGTCATACTTAGTCCTATACTCTATACTAATATGTCTACAAATACAAGCTGTCTATTTTTTTCGCACAATGCCATGATGGACTCATAGCATGATTTTGAAGGTTCTAGTGCTTTCAATATATGCGTGAGTAAAATGATCATTTGGATTAATATTTCCACGTAAGAAAACAAGCATATAACAATTTAACTCATAAAAACTCAACCAACTAAATTTGTCGCTATATATATGTATGTCTAGTGCACAAAAAACACATAAATAGATTTTATATTTCACGTGTCTTTTAATTAGGCATTTGTTTTCGCTATAATTAATAATACATTGTAAGAAATTTAACAATTAAAGTATATAAATAATAATACAATGTAAGATAAATTAACGGCTAAAGTATATTTTAAAAGAATCTCTCAATCTAATAGCTAACGATTAATATAAAGGGGTAGTGAAGGTATGAGGGTTTTGATTATAAAGAAATAGGCACCAAATTTCACCTCAATGAGGTTGAACTGATGAGGGCGTTCGTGTGCGTGGCGCCGCGGCGTGGCGTGGCGTGGCGATGGTGGAGGCAGGAGGCGGCGGCAGGCGTGGCGGGCGGCGGGCGGGTGAGGGAGGGAGGGCGGTAAGACGCGGGCAAAGGGAGGGAGGGCGGCTCGCGGGCGTTATTTATCTGGTCCTGCCGCGCCGTGGGTTATGGCACGATAGACCCTGCCACATCACCGATCAGCGCCCCGGTCGTCGCCACGTCACCCCTCTCGCACAGGCTTTTTGCCGCGCCATGGCAATAGGCGCGGCCAAAAGTGTTAGTTTTGAAAAAAAAATAAACAGTGGTAAATTTAAAATTAGTTTAAAAAAGTGTTAAAAATATTAAAAAATCCCGCTGGCTTCCGTATGCCGGCATCCGGCGACGACCGGAATCAGTTTGGTGATGCGTGCTTTTCAGTGTCACATCAGGGTCAGCGAGCACGGCACGCAACTCTAGTGATCAGAGACGCCCGACTCATGGTCCATCACTGAAAACACTGTGCCGCGAAAGGAGACGCTGAAAGATGCACCTCCGCTTCCCGCCCGGCGCCCGGCGGCCGCCGCGCTAGCATTAGCACGCATGTTTGTGTAACTTGAGAGGGGGAATTTATTTTTATTTTTCTCTACGGTTCGTCGATGTTTCCTGCCTTGTACCAGTTCGTCGCCCTGCATGTGCGAGCGGCGCTGGTCGCCAGCCCCTGCAGGCTGCTGCTGGTGGTGCGTTTGGTCACGCTCAAAACTCTACGCTCTGAATTTAAACTGGGCCTAAACACGTCTAACGCGGTACGTGTCCGTGTCAACTACGCCGTGCAGGCCGCGCAGGTACGTATCTGTCGGTGCCGAGTCGTGGCGTGGGTGTTGGTGAACTTGTCTGTTTCAGCCTTTGGGATGGCCAGGGCCGTACCAGCCGCCCGCCGGACATGTTCTTCACTTCTTCATCAATCGGCACCCGGCGCCGGCAGGAAGCGAAGAGAGAAATGCCAAACGGCTACGGTCCCCTCGTATGACTGCGACTGCGACCTGGAGCCTGTCGTCGAGTACTCGTTTCAGCTTCAAACGACCCCTGACCGCAGCGGGCAGTGGTGATTCCCTGTCAGTATCAAGGCGCAATTCCAAGGAACCGATCGATAATGACAGCGGCTGCACTGCATATACTACTATTTACCTCGTCATCAACGTTAAGCGAGTTGGTGCTGCGTGCCTTTCAGCCTCCAGAGCCAGCAAGCAAGCGCGGGCAAGCAAAGCACGGCACTTCGCTCAGAGTCACAGGAGACGTCCGACTCGTGTGATCTGAGACTACACATGCATTGCGAAAGAGATGCTGAAATATCGATCGTGCCAGCTCGATCCGCTTTCCGCGCTAGCTGGAACGTCGGCTTGACTTCGTTTCATCATTCATCCGAGAGCTCAACAGTTTTAACTAGACTACAGACTCGAGCCGTGCTGCCGTGGATTCCTGATTATCCATTTCTGGATTCATTTTGTCTGAAAGAGCTAGTTATTAGTTACAATTAAAAAATTAGCCTAAATTAGTTTGGTTAGCTAGCTAATTGACTAACAACTAGTTGAAAGCTTGATTAATAAATTTGTCCATCTATTAGCCCTCATTTGGAAGAGCCAAAGCTAATTTTAACTCATTTAGAGCTAGCCGACAATTAGCTATTAGTACCAAACACGCCTTTAGTTCTGAGTTCATCGTGGCAACTCCATGGGATCTTCAAAGACATGGGCGGATACAGAGAGTATTCCCCGTATTCTCAGGAATACCCAACTATTTTAGCACACTTCTATGTATATATGTGTATATACTTGTATATGTATAATGCCATATTTTGTAGTATTTTCACTCATTGAAGCCCAAAACAGTAAAAAAACAGCCTCTCAAATTGGCTCATATTTTGTAGTATTTTCACTCATTGCAATTAAAAACAACTGTTTTTTTTATTGACATGGAAGTAGGAATACCCAAGTTTGGAATCCTGGCTCCGCCACTGTTCAGAGATGGATATAGAAACAGAAGATGATGCGTCGCACGAAGATTCCTTCCATCGCATGTACATGATGCAGCTGTTGGGCTTTTCTGAATTATAATATGGAGTACTAGTGTGTTGTTATGTACTCCTATGAAATTCATTCATGACACCAACTAGTTGCTTATTTTTCTTTTGTCAAAACTTACTACAGGTGGCGAGTCTCGATCTCAGCCGATCCTTCTTCGAATTCCACAAGAATAAATTAAAATCTCCCTCCAGCTCCTCTACGGTTTGTTTAATGTTTATAAACTCAAATGGCGATCACAGCTCCTGATTTGATGAGCGAATAATAAAGCAGCAACGGCTGGCAGGCTTCCGTTTAGCCAGCCCGGCCCCCGGTCACGAGTCACGACGACCTCGACTCGACCATGAAGCCGCCCACGTCCACCACCACCTCCTACCTCCTCCTCGCCCCGCTCGCGATCCTCCTGCTCGTCTCGGTGCTACCCTCGCTCCGCCCTTGGTCCCGCGCCGGCTCCGCCTCCGACGATGGCCTCGGCGTCCTCTGCGCCCGCCGCGCCGGCTTCGTCGACGTCGTCGCCGCCGCCGCCGCCGCGCCGCCACCGGCCGAGACGACACGGCCGGTGGAGCCGGCGGCGGAGTTCAGCCTGCTCGTGGGCGTGCTGACCATGCCGAGCCGGCGGGAGCGGCGCGACATCGTGCGGATGGCGTACGCGCTGCAGCCGCCCCCGGCGGAGGGCGTCGCGCGCGTGGACGTCCGCTTCGTCTTCTGCCGCGTGACGGACCCCGTGGACGCGGCGCTGGTGGCGGTGGAGAGCCAGCGGCACGGCGACATAATAGTGCTGGACAACTGCGCCGAGAACATGAACGACGGCAAGACGTACGCGTACCTCTCCTCGGTGCCGCGCCTCTTCGCGGCGGAGCCGTACGACTACGTGATGAAGACCGACGACGACACGTACCTGCGCGTGGCGGCGCTCGTGGAGGAGCTCCGCTCCAAGCCCCGCGAGGACCTCTACCTCGGCTACGGCTACGCCATGGGCGGGCAGCCGATGCCGTTCATGCACGGCATGGGGTACGTCGTGTCGTGGGACGTGGCGGCATGGATCGCCGGCGCCGACGAGATCCTGGCGCGCAACGACACCCTGGGCCCCGAGGACCTCATGGTCGGCAAGTGGCTCAACCTCGCCGGCAGGGGCAAGCACCGGTACGACCTCAAGCCCAGGATGTACGACCTCAACTGGTTCATGGACAACTTCCGGCCGGACACCGTCGCCGTGCACATGCTCAAGACGAACCAACGCTGGGCGGCGACGTTCAGGTACTTCAACGTCACCGCCGGGATCACGCCGTCCGAACTGAACCACCTGCCGTGATCGTCGTCATCTCATCGACCGACCAACACTTGGTTCTTTTTTTCTTTTGTGCTAGCACGAATTGTTTGCAATTGTTAAGAGTAAGGGAAATCCTTTGGCAAGTGGTCGTGCGACACTCGAATGGACCATGGTAGAGGGGAGCATCTGAGTCACCTCCCACGTCGTGTCATGTCGTGTGAGCCAGCCGATGGTTCGGCCGTTGACGCGATCCAAACCGCCGTGCAAGTTTCTTTCTCGGCGAGGCGACGGCCAGAAAAGGCTTGGTCTTGGCCTCGCTCGTGACATGACATCCTCGCCGCCGATTCATTGATCTACGGATCGGAAAACAGCATTGCCAATCTAGTCCTTTGTCTCTGTCGTCCTTGGAAGAAAAAGGATGCCAAATTGCCAATCTAGTCTCTGTGTAATGTCTGATTTCCTGTCATCCTGTCCCTGTGTATTCTCCGCAATGATGAACGACACTGCAAACTGCATGTTGCAGGCCGTATGTACATTCCTTGTTCTACATTTTGTTTACTGCCTTGTACTGTACTAATCTCTTCCGCAAAAGTATAATTACGCATGGAAGCTGTGCCTTCCACGAGTAAGCAACTAGCAAGCACACAAGTTGTTATTTCCTTGTTTTACTTATATTTGGCAGGCAAGTCAAGAATTTCCACAAGTAAGCAACTACGACATTCACTTTTTCTAGTTTTATTATACGAAGGCCCAGAAGAGACAATTCGAGTTAGCAAGTCGCAAGCGTACAGCCTTCTTTCGGAGAGATTTTGCCAAACTTAAACATGTGTGCCATCACAACCAAATGTGGCTGGTTGACGGGGGCTTAAGCGCAAAATAATTCCACCTCTAACCCTGTCCATTAAATTAGCATCTTATGATTCTGATTCGTAGTTTTTAAAGTTACACGGGGTGGTTGGTTTGCACCGGATACGTTCCCTCGTAGTATATAGCAAGGTTGGTGCGATCTCAGCTTCGATCATATGACGATGTGATCAAGCAGGCAAACCGTGGACGCCATCAACGGATTGTGCTTCACCAACACCAAGCAAGCAGTAACCGACAACGAATCGTGTCGTGTCCCCGTCGGCCTCCTCGAACCTGTTGTGGCCGCCCGTCACACTCGCACAACACAGGCAAGCTGCAAGCGACTAAACAACGCCCTTTCCGTGCCCGGGAATGATTGCTCGTGACCTGTGACCGTTTTTTTTTATGCATCACGACTTCACGAGCTGTCAATAATCCAAGGCCACGAGAACAGATGGAATCGAAGATAAATTTAAATATACAGCTCGAAGGCGTTCCAGACTGCCGCTACTTAATCATGTTCGCGGACGTTGAAACTTCTCCCTCCCATACCCATCACGCATTCACAAACAAGTACGTACACCACATGCTCTCCAGTAGTCTCGACGTCGCGTGGCCGATATGCCATTTCACCGCTTTTTTTAGAGTTTACGGGCAGTCGCCCCGCCCCATTTCACCGCTTTCTCCCGCCATGCACGAACGTTTCAACCAACATCTCGACACGACTAGTCAGTCGCATAGCACGTCGGCTCGGCGTGCGCTTTATAAGCCGAAACCCGGCGCGCGGGGGCCCGGGGCACGCACGCGTACGTTTCGCTTCAATTTTCACGGAACGGAACGAAACGCTAGCTGGCGGTGTGCGCTGCGCCATGAAGACCACTTCGTCGCACGGGCTCCACCACCTCCACACCGCGTCGCTCTGCACGCCTTACCTCCTCCTGGTGCCGCTCGGCCTCCTCGCCCTGCTGCTCGCGCTCCCGAGCCTCGGCTCCTCCCACGCCCGCTCCCAGGGCCTCGGCGTGCTCTGCCGCGGCGCGGCGGGCACCGACGGCGGCGGCGGCTACCACTCCGTCGCGCCGACCGGCGCCGACGAGAAGAAAGCCTCCGTCGTCGCCGACGCCGACGCCGAGACGCCGCCGCGGCCGCAGCCGGATCTCAGCCTGCTCGTGGGCGTGCTGACCATGCCGAGCCGGCGGGAGCGGCGGGACATCGTGCGGATGGCCTACGCGCTGCAGCCGCCCGCGTCCGCGGCGCGCGTGGACGTCCGCTTCGTCTTCTGCAACGTGACCGACCCGGTGGACGCCGCACTGGTGGCGGTGGAGGCCCGGCGCCACGGCGACATAGTCGTGTTGGACTGCGCCGAGAACATGAACGACGGCAAGACGCACGCGTACCTGTCCAACGTCCCGCGCCTCTTCGCGTCGTCGCCCTACGACTACGTGATGAAGACCGACGACGACACGTACCTGCGCGTGGCGGCGCTCGTGGAGGAGCTCCGGGGCAAGCCCCGCCACGACGTCTACCTGGGATACGGCTTCCCCGTCGGCGACGACCCCATGCCGTTCATGCACGGCATGGGCTACGTCGTGTCGTGGGACGTCGCGCGCTGGGTGTCCACCAACCAGGACATCCTGCGCCACAACGACACGCACGGGCCTGAGGACCTGCTCCTCGGGAAATGGCTCAACATCGGCGGCAGGGGCAAGAACCGGTACGACCTCAAGCCCAGGATGTACGACCTCAACTGGTTCATGGACAACTTCCGGCCGGACACCATCGCCGTGCACTTGCTCAAGGACAACCGCCGGTGGGCGGCGACCTTCAAGTACTTCAACGTCACCGCCGGCATCAACCTGTCCCACCTGCCGTGATCGACCAGTTAATCATTTCGATTTTTTTTTTGTATGCGTGTATTTTCTATTTGAGTTAAATGCACCTGAGATCCATTAACTTATGAGAAGATTTTAATTGGGTCCATCAACTTCTAAAGTGGTTTTTTAGATCTATGAACTTTTAAAATAGTTTACTATAGGTCAATACCTATTTATTTAACCTTAAATCTAAAGTACATCAAAACCCCATACCTTTTTTATCTTTTACGCGCTATCGCAGTCGCACGCGGTGCGCCGCGCCGACACCGCGAATTCGTCGGCTAGGAGAGCTCTACAATCGCATCGCATCCCGGCACAGGAAGATTCCGTTGGAGGTTGGATTGTTTGTCTCTGCAAATTGCAATGGCTGCTGCTGCTGCTCCGTCTGTGGCGACGTCCCCGTCCCCATCCCCGGCGCCGGCGCCCAAGGTCGCGTCGCCCAAGGCCGGCGACAGGAAGGTGGTGCCGGCGGACGCGGTGGAGGTGGAGGAGAAGCACGTGCTGGCGGTGGACGACAGCTCCGTCGACCGCACCGTCATCGCCAAGATCCTCCGCAGCTCCAAGTACAGAGGTGAGCAGAGCACGCAGTTCTTCCTCGATTGGTTCATCAAGACATGGAAGGAAGGCTGGAGCTGCTCGCGCTGGGTCTGCTCCCCGACGTGAACATGATCATCACGGACTACTGGATGCCCGGGATGACTGGGTACGAGCTCCTCAAGCACGTCAAGGAGTCGCTATCGCAGGCGCGCGGCACTGCTGTGGCTAGGGGCCCTCTTACGCCTTCGGCTTCTTCTCCACCAACCACCAGGCGCCGCCCTGCAACAGCGGCGGGATCATGACCTCCGTGGTGGAGGGCATCCCACAGGTGGTCTGGTCCGCCAACCGCGGCCAGCCCGTCGGGGAGGGCGCGTCCACGGAGCTTACGTCCGCGGGCAACCTCGTGCTCTGCTTCGCCCCCGGTGGCGCCGTCGTGTGGTCAGCGGGCACCGCGGGGTGGTCCGTGGCCGCGATGGCCGTCGCCCGCGACGGCAACCTGGTGCTCCTCGACGCGCGGAACGCCACGGTGTGGCAGTCGTTCGACCACCCCACCGACGCCCTGCTCGTCGGGCAGTCGCTGCGCCAGGGCGCGCGCCTCGTCGCCAACTCCTCCGCCGCTGACTGGTCCGCGAGCCGGCAGCCGGCTCTACCTGACCGTTGCCAACGACAGCCTCAGCGCCTACGTCGACGCCAAGCCGCCGCAGCGGTACGGCGCAGAGCTCGGCCGCGTGCTGCCGGAGCGACACGAGCGCCGCCAGGAACGTGCCGAAGGCGTCGGCCAGGACGAGCGTCGCCAGCGAACCGCTGAGGCTGGGCGTCGGTCGTCGTGCAGAACGCGTTCGTTTCCATGTATATGCGCTGCAGAGACGTGGTCGCGGACTCACGGCGGAGGTAGCGTTCGGCGCGCTGCAGAGCTGGACAACTGTGTCACGGCACTCATCCGCTTCTTCTCCACTAGCAAGTGCTCCGCTTCCTGCTTTCGTCTTCTTGGCCGTGGTGACGAGCATGAGTAAAGGTATTCATGTATTTTTGGTTTTATTTTCAAGAGGAAAAGAAAGTATATCACATAGGCACGACGTCATAATGACGTCATCAAGCTAATAGCAGGCCACATGCAGCGGCTGCGGCTCAGCCGCGCTCAGGCACTCAGAGCTCGCCGGCGCTATGCGGCGAGCTGCGTGCACGTGCGTGCAGGGAGGCGGCACAGGGGCAACGAGGCGTACAGGACCTCGACCATTCCTGCACGTACCACGACAAGCTCTTCTTCTGCGACGACGAGCGGCAGTTCCTCCGCCGCGCGCCGTGGCTGGTGATGAGGACGGACGGCTACTTCGTGCCGGCGCTGTTCCTGAACCCGGCGCACCAGGACGAGCGCCACGCTCGGCCGGCACCTGGCGCGGCGGCTCGTGCAGATCGGCGCCTCCGACGTGTTCGCCGTCCCCGGGGACTTCAACCTCACCCTGCTCGACTACCTCATCGCGGAGCCGGGGCTGAGCCTCGCCGGCTGCTGCAACGAGCTCAACGCCGAGTACGCGCGGTCGCGGGTGCGCACAAGGCCGGCAAGGGCGCGCTCGAGTGCGCGGTCTGCCTCAGCGAGTTCGACGACGACGAGACGCTGTGCCTGCTGCCCAAGTGCTCCCACGTCTTCCACCCGGACAGGAGCTGCCGTCGCCCACAGCCGCGCCGCCAGCGGCTGCTGCTGCGGTGGTCATTGACGTGGAGGAGACACAGGAGGAGAGGATCATCAGAGAGGAGACCGACGAGCTGATGCGCATCGGCAGCGTGAAGCACGCGCTGCGCTCCAAGTCCGGCCGCGCGCCCGCACAGTTCCCACACTCGCACTCCACAGGGCACTCGCTCGCAGTCGCAGCGTCTGCCACCACCGGCACCGGCACCGGCGCTGGCACCGAGAGGTTCACGCTGCGTCTGCCCGACTCCGGGACCTCGCCGCGGCGGGGAAGCTCCAGCGTACCACGAGCCTAGTCGCGTTCCGCTCCAGCCGCGGCGGCAGCACGCGCCATGGCGTCAGCGTCAAGACTGGGGCCGGCGGCGGCGAATTTGCGGGTTGTGTTTTTTCGGATGCGTTGAGCAGGAAGGATGAGCGCGTACAAGATAAAGAAAGACAGAGGGTTTTCTACGAATGTACTTTGGTTAAATAAATATATATGGATCTACAGTGAACTATTTTAAAAATTTATGAACTTAAAAAGCCACTTTGAAAATTGATGGATCCAACTAAAACCTCCTCATAAGTTAACGAAGCACTGGTGTATTTAACTCTTTCTATTTTCCTTAACTGACATTGGCTGATTGTGCCAAGGTGGCGTGCGTAAGCCACATTCGTTTCTTGTATTTGTTATTCTCTGATTGGGAATCGTCAACGATCAACATACCATACTGGCATTAAATTTTGCTTCGCACGTACTTTGGCTGACTCTCCCTTTCAAATTATAAGTCACTTTGAATATTTTTACATAGAATTTACTATTTATCTAGACATACGTTATATCTAGATGCACATTGCAAAATGGATACATCAAAAAACCTAAAACGACTTGTAATTTGAAACGAACGGAGTACTAATTAATTCAGTTTCTCCATTCTCTTTTCTGGTATGATCATTACTCCCTTGGCCCATAAAAAGATTGTAACTATAGATGCATACAAGTTAAATAAGTTTAATTTTGATCGAGTTTATAGTGAATATTATTAACATTTATGTCTCTAATTAGGTTTATTATGAAAATATATTTCATACTACTTATTTTGTATCGCAAGTGTTAATATATTTTTATATGATCATGGTCAAACTTTAAATCACTTGACTTCTAAAAAGCGAGAATTGCATTTTTTTGTGAGCGGAGGGATTTAGTGGTGTCTGGTTACTCTGCATAGCCCAAATTGTTTTGGTAATGTTTGATTGGCTACGTAAAGAGCTGTATGCTTGTGCAATGGACTGTGTTTATGCCTGCACTGACTTGGTATGGTCACCAAGCTGGCCTCGCTGGTGAAGTGGTGATGTTACCACCGTGCTAGAAGTGAGCCAAGTTCGACTGCTCAGGTGGAAAGTGTGGCCGTGCACCCAGCCACACATGTTTAAGTTTTCTCCTAGCTTAAATATGGGTGCCTATTTTAAAAAACGACAAGTTCCTTCTAGGTTTGAATTTGGATCTTGTTTATCTTAAGAAAAAAATGTTACCACCACCATGCTTAGTCAGTGCGGCATGTAACAAATGAATAATGCTTTAGTGATTAGAATTTGAATTTATTTGAGGCAGCTTCCATACACCACGTGATCATGCTTAGTATTCTAGAAGAATATTCTACTTCATTCCAAAAGATAGAAGACTCTTCAGCTTAGGGCACCCGTAATGGTATAAGCTAGTTACTAACTCTAAGCCAACCTCTCTAATAGTGCTAGCTTTTAGTAATAACTCATAGTATGATTAGGCCCATATGACACTCTCACATGATCTTAGAATGTGTGTATGAGCCTAGCTTTTGATAAGAGCTTTTTTTTTATCTCATCTATTAAAATATGAAAAAAATACTTAAAGCTAAAAAGCACCATTAGGCAGTGTTCGGCTGGCATTAAAAGCTTATGAAAAGTCGGCTGGATCGTGAGAGAAAAATACTAGAAAAAAAGAAGTTCAGCCAAAAGTGGCCAAGAAACACAATAGCAGATACTGAGCTCAAAGACCAAGAAACAAATAGCAGTAGTAACTAGTAAGTACTTGATTGCAACTAGTTCGACTTTGCCAACTGAACCTGAAAAGTCAGGGTACTATGCCTGTGCTTCTAATCCACATGATTTCTTTAGGTTGCTCTGGATTGAGTCACTGGAATGATTCCAGTTGGAATGTGTTCACTAATTTATATAGTTTTAAAAAGCTAGAATAGTTCCTGGTTCAAATCCAGGGTAGCTGAACGCAGCCTTAGTTAACAACGTCAAACTCAAAATTCTAATGGAAGAGTGATTGACTGTACCTGGTCCGTTTGATCTTGGTTGGCTGAGCTTGGTGAAAACAAAAAAAAAATGCCAGCCAATACTTTCGCTAGAATGCACAAATTCAAGTTCGAAATAGCTCACAAGAAATCAGAGCATCATCAGAGAGGCACAAGTTAGCATCACACTGTCATGCCAGTCGTGGATGCAATTCAAGTTCATATACACATGGCTCGTATAATTCAGTGGGATGGATGGATTGGCTGAAGATTGAGTCATCGTGGGGTGTTTGACTAATTAGTTGTGATAAATTTTCTCAGTTCATAAGAATATCATGTAATGTAATTTCTAGGATTAACGTTAGCCACACGATCGAGCTGGCAAATCTAATTGGACACTCTAGGAAGTTGCTTCCTGATAGTGTGATACTCCTAGGAGACAAGAAGAATGGGGCACCAACCTCTAAATCCCGAGGGTGTTGACAATCAGGGGGGACCCGTCACAAGCTTCGCGCTCGCTTGCATGAAGGCATGAAGGCAGGCCTGCACTGGCTAGTAGTTCTTTTTTTTTACAGTAGTTTAAACCTTGCAAGCTTGGAGTTGCTGCATCTCGAGGATAATAGACTTGTGCCATCGTTCCAGCGTCTTTGTGCAACCTGTCATTGTAACCACCCTGCTAGTGATATGGAACAAGCTGCATGGATCTGGTGAGTACCTAGAATATGGATACTGGTGACGCCGTTCAGCAGAGCCACTTTTATCCATCTCCAGTCTTAAGGGATATAGGAGTTTCTAAAATTAGCCAGGTGTTGCATGGGTACCGCTAATAAAAACGCAAATTCAGCAGAGCCACCCAATTTATTATACCTAATTAATTCATCACTAACACATATTTACTGTAGCACCACATTGTCAAAACATGGACTAATTAGACTTAAAAATTCATCTCGCAAATTAGTCGCAAACTATGCAATTAATTTCGTAATTAATCTATATTTAATACTACATACATATATCAAACATCCGATGAGACAGCAGACTAAACCAAACACCCTCCTAGCACTCACCGAGGTATACCTATCCAGACCAGTCTGTTTGGTTTGGCGAATGATGAATTCATTCGGCATCAGGTGAACCTGCCAAATTAAAAGCAGAATGTGTCGGTTTGGCACTTTTCACGGAGGTGACTTGGTTCCTCACGATCGCTTAAAATTAACTCTCCGTGGAAGCACTCGACGACAAACGGTGTGATTCCATCCACGCTGAACACCAAACAGTATTGTTAGCTTCAGTTCTAGGTTCGGATCATTCCGGATTGCCTCGTGCTGTAAACCAAACATGTGAATGTGCGCCCTTCTATCACGGGGACTGGGGAGGCTGCAGTCTCGCTCTGAACATTCTATTCCTTCATTCTGAGGTAGAAGCAACTGACAAGGAGGGTTGGGAGTTCATCACTGCAGTCAGCTGAATATATTGATTATATTAGTAATAATCTTTCAGTGGGTGACTGCCAAGTTCAATAGCAAAATCTCTCCGCGACTCTCCGATATTTAGGTTACAAATAACATCACTGCAAGTACCGCCTCGAACATTGGTAATCTTGTAACCTAAGCGTACTAGAGATAGGGCACATATTGCTGGACGGCTACTAAACTTGGTTTAATTAGCTTCGAATAACTATTTCTATAGGTTGTCGGGCCTCATACCTCCCCGTCTGTTGCAAATCTAACACAGATAGAATGGCTACTTCCATAGTTCCATCCAACAACTCCAACAAGCCTTTGAGAAACTAAAAAAAAAACATTGATATTCTTGATCTGTCAGTGAGTCAAGCTTGTTCTATTAGCAGACCAGTTTTGTGCTTAGACACCTCATACCTGATAGTACTCTAAACTGCATAGTTTTGCATTATTGCTGCTGGATAGGAATTCATACCTCACTCTCTTGAAGAATCTAAGAATGTAAGGTGCCAGCAAACTGACCTTGACCATGAACAAGTTGTCGGGTGCAATCCCTGATACTATTGGTAGCAGCTGGCACGCAATTTCTTAGGGCAAATCCCAACAATTTTTGAAAATTTCGAACCGTGTCAAACATGGTTGTGTCCTTCAACAATTTCAAAACAACTTCTTAGTGACCATGATCCTGATATAAAAAGAATCCAAACAGTGCTATTCAGTTAGCAAATCTTAGCTATGTTTTTCTGAAACAGCATCATACACTTCAAAAAATGCCAAGCAAACTTTACCACTACTATACTAACAGATGATGGAGCTCTAGAATAGCATTACAGCCATGCAGTGGCGGATGCACGATGCGGGATAAGGGGGGGGCTAAAACAATGGAGATGTTGATTTGCATGAAGATTTAATGGTGAAATCAAGCTTTTGCTACAGTGATTAGGCTTGGAATCAAGACATTAGGGGGGCTGGAGCCCCCCCAGCCCCCCCCCCCCTTTGGATCCGCCACTGCAGCCATGTGCATGGCATCATCATCGACGGATCACAGATTCTTCTAAATATTCAAGCTTCGAGTGTAAGAGGTGCGTAAACACTGTATAGAAATTCCATCCAGCAAGGAAAATGAATTAGGAAACAAGCAATTCCATTTCGGATTTTTTTTTAAGCACTACAGATTTCACGTTTCATTGCACCCACAGAAATTTCAAGTATCAAACTTTTCAGATATTTGATCATATACTTAGCGGCGCACTGCTAGGAGCAGTTCTGCAGCAAGACCATCCATCCTGATACAAATAATAGGAAAAAGTCCATTTTTGGCCATCGAACTTTTGGCGAAGTCCGAGAATGACCATCAAACTCGAAAACCAGGAATCTTTGACCATCCATTTTTTGAAACCAGGCATAAAAGGCCATGTCAACAGTTCACCTACAGATTCCCTCGGTTTTGACGCCACACATGGCCATTGACCTGGCGCCCCACAGTTAGGGCCCCTCTCCTCGTTATCCTCTCCTCACGACGCCTACAGAAAGAGAAAAACGGAGGCGGCGAAGTGGAAAACTCTCGCTTAGGGTTTG